TTTTGAAAGATGAGGCAGGTTGATATGATCCCTTGAGGCCAAAATTTTGAGACCAGCCTTGGCAACTTAGCAAGACTCTCTTTCTACAAATAATAATAATGATAACGATAATAAATAGTTATATTAATTTATTTTAAAAGACCATGGAGGTTAAGAATGGCCCCTGAGGAACCATTGTAGAATTTTGTAAAAGCAATTGATTATTTAAAAGGAATGGTGTTTTAAGAAGAATACCCTGACTGTAGACAAAAAATCTATTTAAATTCAATAAAAATGAAGATAGGGAGGCCAGTACCAAGTGTGGAGCCTAGCACAGTCGCAGTGCTGTGAGATAATATGCACTGAAATTGCACAGGATAATTTGGATACAACTATTAGAAATCTAAATATGCTAAGAACAAAAGAGACCATTCTGGTAATGGATTTGGCGTTGAAATTGAAATCTCTATTAAAGTGTCGTTACTTTACAACATTCTGTGACTTACTGATGTCAAAGTGGGAATACAGGTCTGGAAAGTGGAAGAAAGAGTGTCGGCAATAAAAATTAAGTAGAGTGATGTGGATGTGATTGCTTAGAAAAGCTTAAAGAATGTACAGCAAATTAGTTTAGGACATAGTGAATTAGTCATGATGTGCTTTGGGAAGGTTTTGGATTAGGTTGCTTCCATGTAGCTCTCTACAAATAATTATCAGTCTATTGTTTCTAAATATGACATACATATGTGACCTAATATAAACACAGAAATTTGCTGTTAGATGGGCATGTACTTGTGGTGGCATCTCAGTAATATTTTATCTGTTTATGACTTGCTTATCGTCAGTGGGCTCAGTTCGTTCCTGTTGCATTTGCTGTGTTACATGACAGCAGGCTATATTGACTACAGAATCACTTTTTCCTTTTGGTTCTTTGGCCTTGCTGAATATTTTCATGCCGTTTAGAAGCACTTCAGTGTGCTCACAAGTGAAGTGATATTGATAGCTGATCTAATGTTTGTAAATGATTTTTATTTTCATTTTTATTAGTGTAGAATCATTATTATAACCATAATAGTACAGCTGCCACTTGCTCGGGTTTTTCTCTGCTCCCACAGGTGAAGGAATCTCACAGATCTTTGCACATGGCATCACGTGTCATGTGAGTGTGCCTAGGAAAAAAAAAAAGGAGACAACACACTTAATGCAGTGTTTCTCAAAGTGTCAGCTACCCACTACTGCTGGATCATTGTGGTCTATCAAAAATGTCATGAAGGAGTTTGGTGGCTTCAGAGGCAACAACAGTGAAGTAGTTGTGTTCATATACATTGAATACATTTGAGAAAGAAGATTACCATTTTCATAGATACTCTATCATACTGTAAATCATTGAATTTGAAAGGTTCTATCAAGGCTGAAAAGAAGAGAGTCTTGATCAGTTTGTCTCAGAACATGTTCAGCTAACAGGCTACATTTCACCTCAGCTAATGAGTTCATATCATTTGCCTGTTACTGCAAGTGTGTTTTAAATATGTAGTTGGAATTGTTACTATTGAGTTCTTTCCACAGTTCGTAGAAAATGAAGCAAAAGCTCAGAATAAATCACTGCGATACGAAAGTAATGATCAAATAAAACCACCCATAAATTTGTAACTCAAATGGGAAACTATATTACATATGTAGAAGGTAAATCTGTATATTCTCAGATAAACAAATTAGTAAGTGTGATGGCTTTGCACAAGCAGTCAAAACAGAAAAGTACAATAGGAGTTATGAAGATAAAAGACTTTTCAAATGAGATTTTATTGGATTGGTGATTTTTTAACTTACCCCAGAGCTTTTTAGGTTAGACATCTCTGCCAATTTTGGGGCATGAACTTTTGTTTAATTTTCAAACAAAGCACAATAACCTCTCTGGTAAACCAATTGAGTTATGTCAGAACAATTGTAGTACAATGTTTTCAATATAAATTATTATTATTTTTGCCAAAGGCAAAGAAGAGACCAGCACTTCTAAAGCATCATTAAAATTACATCTTTACAGTAAATATGTCATGTGTTTGCTGATAGTATTATAGCAACAACTGCAAAGTTAATAACAAATATTATACCCTCCAAAATGATGTATGGGAATGTTCTTTTATTAAATGATACTATTGTCTCTGGCGTAATATCATTGGCTTCTTCCTTGGAAGACCAAGTACAGAGTCTGTGCATGTTAACAATTTTTTACTTAAGTGAAATTTTAAGTAAACGATGTGGTAAGTCCACAAATGGGTAGTATATAAATGAGATAATCATGCTCAATTACATTTTTTTTCTGCATATCACATGAAAATTCATGCTACAGGAGGTTAATTAAAATTATTTTTCAAATTATGAAGTACTAAAAAGGTAATATTGTCATCAGTAATAAACCTGAGTATTACGCCCTGAAGTGGTTAGCCCTGCAAGTCAATCCACATGCTATGAACATTTAGTTCATGATAAAATACACACCTCTGGATTTTGATTAAGAGTTAAAGCAACTCAACAGGGTGAAGCTGAACAAAGGACATGTACTAAGAGTAAACCTTTATAGTGTGCTTTCTGAGGAATTGAGAAGCAATTCTAGGACTGCTTTTCATTACTGAGTTAACATGGCTATCAAGAAGACTGTATATTATGTAAGTTTTTTAAATTACAAATGAGATTTTTTAAAAACCTTGCAGAAAAAGTCCTATGTTACCAGATAAAGTTTCATATCTCAGCATTGTATTTTTAAAACCGAGCTAGGAAATAGCATTTCATACCACGTGATTAACCCATTATAGGGGTGAAATTCAATGATTTTTTTTTTTTTTTTTTTTTTTTTTTGTGAGATGGAGTCTTACTCTGTCGCCTAGGCTGGAGTGCAATGGTGTAATCTTGGCTCGCTGCAACTTCCACTCCCCAGGTTCAAGCAGTTCTCCTGCCTCAGCCTCCCGAGTAGCTAAGACTACAGGTGCATGCCACCATGCCTAGCTAGTTTTTTGTATTTTTAGTAGAGATGGGGTTTCACCTTGTTAGCCAGTATGGTCTCGATCTCCTGACCAATTTTTAGTAAATGTATAAAGTTATACAACTACCTCTATGAATTTTATTTTATTTTTGCCTTATTTATTAAGCTTTATTAATCTTTACAATACTTCATGTATCTTTTTTATTATACCTTAAGTTTTGGGGTACATGTGCAGATCATGCAGGATTGTTACATAGGTATACACATGCCATGGTGGTCTACTGCATCCATCCCTGCATCATCTACATTAGGTATTTCTCCTAATCTTATCCCTCCCCAATCCCCCCGCCCTCTACTATCACTCCCCTAGATCCCCATCCCCCAACAGACCCCTGTGTGTGATGTTCCCCTCCCTGTGTGCATGTGTTGTCATTGTTCAACACCCACTTATGAGTGACAACATGCCACCTATGAGTGAGAAACAGGTGTTTGGTTTTCTGTTCTTGTGTTAGTTTGCTAAGAATGATGGTTTTCAGCTTCATCCAAGTCCCTGCAAAGGACATGAACTCATCCTTTGTTATGGCTGCAAAGTATTCCATGGTATATGAGTGCCACATTTTCTTTATCCAGTCTATCATTGATGGACATTTGTGTTGGTTGCAAGTCTTTGTTATGGTATACAGTGCTGCAAAAGACACAAACTCATTGTTTTTTATGGCTGCATAGTATTCCATGGTGCGTATGTGCCACATTTTCTTTGTCCTGTCTGTCACTGATGGACATTTGGGTTGCTTCCAGGTCTTTGCTATTGTAAAGAGTGCTGCACTGAACATATGTGTGCATGTGTCTTTATAATAGAATGATTTATAATGCTTTGGGTACGTATCCAGTAATGGGATTGCTGGGTCAAATGGAATTTCTGTTTCTAGATCCTTGGGGAATTACCACACTGTCTTCCACAATGGTTGAACTAATTTACGCTCCTACACACAGTGTAAAAGCATTCCTATTTCTCCACATCCTCTCCAGCATCTATTGTCTCCAGATTTTTTTAATGATCATCATTCTAACTGGTGTGAGATAATATCTCAATGTGGTTTTGATTTGCATTTCTCTAAGGAACAGTGATTATGAGAATTTTTTCATATGTTCATTGGCTGCATAAATGTCTTCTTTTGAAAAGTGTCTGTTCATACCCTTTGCCCACTTTTTGATGGGCTTATTTGTTATTTTCTTGTAAATTTGTTTAAGTTCTTTGTAGATTCTGGATATTAGCCCTTTGTCAGGGGGGTTGACTGCAAGGCTTTTTTCCCATTCTGTTGGTTGCCGGTTCACTGTAATGATAGTTTCTTTTGCTGTGCACAAGCTCTTAAGTTTAATTAGATCCCGTTTGTCTATTTTGACTTTTGTTGCCATTGCTTTTGGTGTTTTAGTCATGATGTCTTTGCCTGTGCCTATGGCCTGAATGATATTGCCTATGTTTTCTTCTAGGGTTTTTATGTTGTTAGGTCTTATGTTTAAATCTTTAATCCATCTGGAGTTAATTTTTGTATAAGGTTTATGGAAGGAATCCAGTTTCAGCTTTCCGCATGTGGCTAGCCAGTTTTCTCAACACCAATTATTAAACAAGGAATCCTTTCCCCGTTGCTTGTTTTTGTCAGGTTTGTCAAAGATTAGATGGCCATAGATGTGTGGCATTACTTTCAAGGCCTCTGATCTGTTCCATTGGTCTGTATCTCTGTTTTGGTACCAGTACCATGCTGTTTTGGTTACTGTAGCCTTGTAGTATAGTTTGAAGTCAGGTAGTGTGATGTCTCCAGCCCTGTTTGTTTGTTTGTTTTGCTAAGGATTTTCTTGGCTGTGCAGGTCTTTTTGTTTCCATATGAAGTTTAAGTTTGTTTTTGCCAGTTCTGTGAAGCAGGTCAGTGGTAGTTTGATGGGGATAGCTTTGAATCTATATATTTCTTTGGACAGTATGGCCATTTTCACAATACTGATTCTTCCTAACCATGAGCATGAAATGTTTTTCTATCTATATTGGTCCTCTCTTATTTCCTTGAGCATTAGTTTGTAGTTCTCTTTGTAAAGGTCCTTCACATCCCTTGTTAGTTGTATTCCTAGGTATTTTATTCTCTTTGTTGCAATTGTGAATGGGAGTTCCTTCATGATTTGGATCTCTGTTTGTCTGCTGTTGGTGGAAGAAACAACGTACCAGAATCTCTAGGACACATTTAAAGTAGTGTCTAGAGGGAAATTTATAGCACTAAATGCCCACATGAGAAGCAAGGAAACACCCTAATATCAAAATTAGAAGAATTAGAGGAGCATGATCAAACAAATTCAAAAGCTAGCAGAAGACAATAAATAACTAAGATCAGAGCAGAACTGAAGGAGATAGAGACACAAAAAATCCTTCAAACAATCAATGAATCAAGGAGCTGGTTTTTTTAAAAGATCAATAAAGTAGATAGACTGCTAGCCAGACTAATAAAAAAGAAAAGAGAGAAGAATCGAATAGATGCAATAAATAATGATAAAGGGAATATCACCAACTATTCTACAGAAATATAAACTACCATCAGAGATTACTAAAAACACCTCTATGCACATAAACCAGATAATCCAGAAGAAATGGATAAATTCCTGGTCACATGCATTCTCCCAAGACTAAACCAGTAAGAAGTTGAATCCCTGAATAGACCAATAACAAGGTCTGAAGTTGGGGCAGCAATTAATAGCCTACCAACCGAAAAAAATTCCAGGACTAGCCGGGTTCACAGCCAAATTCTACCAAACATACAAAGAGGAGCTGGTACCATTTCTTTTGAAACTGATCCAAACAATACAAAAAGAGGGAATCCTCCCTAACACATTTTATGAGACCAGCATCATCCTGATACCAAAACCTGGCAGAGACACCACTAAAAAAGAAAATTTCAGGCCAATATCCGTGACAAACATTGGTGGGAAAATCTTAAATAAAATACTGGCAAACCGAATCCAACAGCACATTAAAAAACTTATTCATCACGATCAAGTCGGCTTCTTCCCTGGGATGCAAGCTGGTTCAATATATGTGAATCTATAAACATAATACAGCACATAAACACAACCAAAGCAAAAACCACATGATTATCTCAATAGATGCAGAGAAGTCCTTCAACAAAATTCAACAGCTCTTTATACTAAAAACTCTTAATAAAGTAGATATCAATGGAACATATCTCAAAACAATAAAAGCTATTTATGCCCAACCCACAGCCAATATCATACTGAATGGACAAAAACTGGAAGCTTTCTCTTTGAAAACTGGCACAAGACAAGGGTGCCCTGTCTTACCATTCCTATTCAACATAGTATTGGAAGTTCTGGCCAGGGCAATCAGGCAAGAAAAAGAAATAAAGTGTATTCAACTAGGAAAAGAGAAAGTCAAATTGTCTCTATTTGTAGATGATATGATTGTATATTTAGAAGACCCCATCATCTCAGCCGGAAATCCCCTTAAACTGATAAGCAACTTCAGCAAAGTCTCAGGATACAAAATCAATGTGCAAAAATCACAAGCATTCCTATACACCAATATTTCATATATCTTATTTCATGTATCAGTGCAAGGAAAACATGACAGTGTGGGATTTGGTTCATTATTTTTCTCCAGCTTTGAGGAATAATTGGTATATTAAAAAAATAAACCACACATAATTAATGAAGTTTGATGAGTTTAGACATATGTATACATTCTCACTACTTTGTTTTGGTTTTGTTTTGGAGTAAGAACACTTGACAGGAGATCTACTCAATTTTTAACTGTGATTTTCTTATTATTAACCGTGAGTACCATAGTGGTCAGGTTTGTAGTTGGTCCAGTTACAAAATGGATTACTTATTTTGTATAACTAACTTCACGTTCGTTAAGCAACAACTCCCTATATCCCACACCCACCATTGCTTGGTAACTATCATTATATTGTCTATTTCTATACATGTGACTGTTTTAGATGCATCTTGTAAGAGGAATCATGCAGTGTGTGTCCTTTTGTGACTGGCTTATTTCACTTAGCATAACGTCCAGGTCCATCCGTGTTGTCACAAATGCTAGAATTTCCATACTTTTAAAGCCAGAATGACATTCCAATGCATAAAGTGCCACGTTTTCTTTATCTATTCATCTGTTGATAAAGATTTGGATTGTTTTCATGTCTTGGTTATTGTGACTAATGCTCCAATAAACATGGTGTGAAGATAACTCTTTGACATCCTGATTTTCATTATTTTAGATATATTCAAAAGTGGGATCATGGGAACATATGGTAGTTCAATTTTTTTTTTTGAATCTCTTTACTATTTTATCATTATTGGCTGCAACATTTTCATTCTTTTCAAAGGTATACAACCATTCTAATTTCTCTAAAACCTTACCAACACTTGTTATCCTATGTTTTTTCATCATAGCCATCCTGACAGGTATAAGGTGATGTCTCATTGTGGTTTTGATTTGCGTTTATTTGAGGGTTAGAAATACTGAGCATCTTTCTATATGCCTGTTGAGCATTATTGTATATTCTTTGGGAAAACGTCAGTTCAAGTCCTTTCCCCGTTTTGTAACTGGGTTATTTTGTTGTTTTTTTGTTTGTTTTGTTTTGTTTTGCTATTGAGGTGCAGGAGTTCCTTATATATTTTGGCAATTAACCACTTTTCAAATATGTGGTTTTGCAAAAGTTATCTCCTACTCCATAGATACCATTGCATTTTGTTGATTGTTTCTTTGTTGTGTAGAAGCTTTTTAGTTTGAGGTAGTCCCACTTACTTATTTTTGTTTTTGTTGCCTGTGCTTTTATCAAGACCAATGTTAACAAAGCTTTTACCTATGTTTTCTTCGGAAAGTTTTTGTTGTTGTTTCAGATTGTGCATTTAAGTGTTTACTCCATTTTGAATTAATTTTTGTCTATGGGATAAGTGTCTGATTTCATTCTTTTGGAGGGGGATATCTAATTTTACCAACACCATTTATTGAAGTTACTCTCTTTCTGTTGTGTATTCTTGGCATCTTCATCAAAGATCAGTTGACCATATATTTGTAGATTCATTTCTGGGCTTTCTATTATGTTCCATTGGTCTATAGATATGTCTTTATTTCAATACTAGACGATTTTGGTTACTCTAGAAAGTGTGATACCTTCAGCTTTGTTCAAAATTGGTATGGCTATTTGTGGTCTTTTGTGGTTCTGTATAAATTTTAGAATTACTTTTCATTTCCGTATAAAATCTCTTTGATATTTTGATAGGAATTGTACTAAATATATAAATCAATTTTAGCTAGTATGAATATTTTAATAATATTAAATTTTCCAATCCATATTCTAGGATTAGTATACATTTGATTGTGTCTTGTTTAATTCCTTTTATAAGAAGAATGTGAAAGAAGCTAGTCTTTCACCTTCTTGGTTATACTTATTCTTAGGTTTATTTTTCTTTTTGGTGACACTGTAAATGGGACTTTTTTCTAATTTCATTTTTGGATATTTTGTAGTTGATCGATAGAAATGCAATTGCTTTTTCTGTGTTTACTACATATCTTGTAACTTTATTCATTTTGATTTTTAATTTCCTCTGTTTTGAAAATTTTTACCATTTACTTGATAGAATATGCTGTCATCAGCAAACAGATCATTTTACTTCTTCTTATCTAATTTGGATGCCTGGTTGTTTATTGTTTCTTTCTTAATTGCTCTTGCTGGAACTTCCAGTGCTATCCTGAATGGAGGTAGTGATAATGAGCATCCCTGCCTTCTTTCACATCTTAGAGGAAAAGCTTTCAGCATTTCTCTTTTGAGTATGATTTTCATTATAAGATTTTGCTATGTGACCATTATTGTGTTGAGACAGCTTCCTTCTATATCTAATATATAGCTAATTTGTTGAGGGTTTTTATCATGAAAGATTGTTGAATTTTGTCAAATGCTTTTCCAGCATTTGACATTTTGAGTTTATTGTATGGTTACTGTCCTTCATTTTTTTTGCTAATGTCATGTTTAATATTATTGATTGATTTGCATGTGTTGAACTGTCCTTGCATCCCAGAGATAAACCTCGCTTGGTTATGGTGCAGAACTGTTTTAATATGCTGTTGAATTTGATTTGCTAAATATTTTATTGATGATTTTTGTGTCCAGGTTAATATGGGCTATTGCATTCATGTTCATCAGGGATATGATTTTCTTATAGTGTCACTGACTTTGTTATCAAGGTGATGCTGACCTCATATTATGAGTTTGGAAATATTCCTTATCCCTTCTATGTTTTTGGAAGACTTTGAAAAGGATTGGTATTAATTCTTTTTCAAATGTTTGGTAGAATTGACTTGTTAAGCCGTCTGGTCCTGGAATGTTCTTTATTGGTAGGTTTTATTGCTGATTGAAACTCTTTATTCATTATTGATCTCTAATGGGTTTCTATTTCTTCTTTTTCTTAGTAGATTGTATATTTCTATGAACTTATTCATTTCTTGATTGTCCAATTTCTTAGCATATAATTGTTCATAGTAGTTCTTTTCGTTGTTTTTATTTCTGTGGCATTGGTTGTATTGACTTCTGTTTTATTTCTGATTTTATTTGAGCCTTCTCCCTTCTATCCTTAGTGTGTCTATAGATAAGAATTTATCAGCATCATTTATCTTTAAAAAACGGGCTGGGTGTGATAGATCATGCCTATAATCCCATCAATTTGGGAGGCAGAGGTCTGTAGAACACAAGGTCAAAAGTTTGAGGTCAGCCTGGCCTACATGGTGAAACCCTGTCTCTACTAAAAACACAAAAATTAGCTGGGTGTGGTGGCATGTGCCTATAATCCCAGCTATTCCGGAGGCTGAGGCAGGAGGATTGCTTCAACATGGGAGGCAGAAGTTGCAGTGAGATTACACCAGTGCACTCTGTAGACCTTCATTTCTTTAGATTTGATTGTGGGAATTTTATTAGTTTCCTTTGGTAGTGTCATGTAACCCTTATTCTTTGTGATCCTTTTATTCTTGCAATGGTATCTGCACATTTGCAGAATAATTTATAGACTGACTTTGTCAGGGAAAGACCTTCACTTACAATTTAAATTACCAAATATGTTGTATTTCCTGGGTAATATTCCATGGACACTCTAAAAGAACATGTAGCTCTTGTTGGTAGGTAAAGTGTTCTATGTCAGTCTAATCTATTTGCTTGATAATGTTGTTTAGGACCTATATCTACTGATTTTCCAACTGTCTTACCAAATATTAAGAGAATCCCATTTAAACATCTGCATATAGTGTTAAATTATCTATCTTTCATATCGTTTGTCACTTTTCACTTCATGCATTTTGGTTATTTATTGTTATATGTATATACATTTATTATATATTCCTTATACATTCACTGTTTTATATGAAACATAATTGTGCATCTCTAACACTATTTTTTACTTAAATTTTATTTTCTCATTTATTAATAAATCTGCAGCTCTCTTATTTTTACTATCTATGTAGTATAGCTATTTTTCAATATTTTGCATTTAACCCATATATGTATATTTGGTTCTAAAGCATGCTTCTTGTAGACAGTATATATAGTTAGATATTGTTTTATATTCTGGCTCACAATATCTGCCATTTGATTCATGTGTTAATCCATTTGTATTTATGAAATTATTGATATGGTTGGCTTTGCAGCTACATTTTGCCTTTTTTTTTTTTTTTTTTTTTTTTTTTAGGTCTTATGACCTACATGTTGTTCCTTGTGAAATTTATTTTTCTGAACTGTTCTTTCGGTGTTATATCGAACAACATTTTGTCTAATCCGAAGGTCATGAAGAATTTCTCCTATATTTTATTCTAAAAGTACTACAGTGTTAATCCATTTATTTGGTTGTAGAATTCATTGCAAGGTAGTTTTTGTATGTGAATTAAAGGGGAGGTCTAACTTCATTTTTCTTTGCATGTGGATATCTAATTATCTCACTAGCATAATAAAAGTTCTGTTCTTTCCTCTATTGAATTGTTTGATGCCCTTTTCAAAAGTCTATTGACCACAAATATAAGGGCTTTTTTCTTTAATTTTTTTCATTGCTTTATATGCCTATTCTTATACCAATACCACAGTCTTAATTCCTATAGCTTCTTTCTAAATCAGCTAGTGTTTAACTTTTCTAATTTTTTTCATCCTTTTCAAAACCTTTTGGCTCTTCTGGGTTCTTTCTCTTTCCATGTAGAATCATCTTGTTGATTTCTCAAAAAAAAATCTGCTGTCATTTTGGTGAGTATTTTGTTACCTTTATTTTTTGAAATTACTATCTTGGCATCTTTGTTTTCCAGTCTATGAACATAGTCATTTTGTAAGGAAAATAGCCTAGATAAAATGGACTGTATTCATCATGACATTTTCTGCTAGCATCTTTATCTTATAGGAAATGGCGTCCTATACAAGAACAATGAATTAGTGGGAGAAATGAAAGACAAAGGAAAAATTTAGTCTAATTGTAAATTACATATATTATTTTTGATGAGATTGTCAAGAAGTCAGTTTGAGCCTCCTTGCTATATCTTGTATATGGTACATATCTCCTCAGGAGCTCAATACAGTGGGTAGCTTGATCTCATCAATGTTTTCATGGGAATCCCAATATTGTATGATAACGTCATTTAAAACATTGTTTCATGTTTAACGTATGTGATCCAATTTTTAAGTCTCATCTCTTTATAAAGGAGATATAAATTTTAAATTAAAGGTTATATAAGTTAAGAAGAAATCAAGGGAGGCATGTAAAACTGCATGTCAATCAAACGTCTATAGAGGGGTTTTTCTGAAAAGAGATCAAGAGAAAGGCAGTTTGAGATGTGTTATGGTATATACAGAATGACAAGCTTTGTTAATTACTTATTAACTCCTTTTCTCAGGATGACCAAAGACATAACTCAAAACATGATATTTTTTCATTATTTTCCCTTTTTGTATGCTTTGCAAAATAGTGTATATGATTTTATTGAATTAGGATTGTAAAAAATTATTTTTTGAAAAGAAATTATAAATTTAAGTTATTACTTTAAAAAATATAGCCTTAATAAAATGGCATTTCCATCGTAGAAGCATTATTGACATTTTGATATAAAGCAGAGACCTTTCATGAGCTCTCAATCAAAGGAAATACTTCAGTAATGATACATGAGTTAATCAATCCTCATCAAATAAATCTACTTCAGTCCATTTTGATTTCACTTTATGAGTAGCTGCTCAGGTCAAAAGATTAACAAGTTCATAACTTATTGCTAATAGCATTTCACTGGACTATGTATTTTTATCTAACCAATTGGACAAGAGAATATTTGTGAGTATTTCATGCCTTATTATAGTGTAGAATTCCATAGAAAAGGAACATACCAGGCAAACAATGTAAATTGACAATTAATCCAAAGTAAACCATGCAACAATACTCCTATGTGTATTTTGTTTCTTGGACCTCTTGGAGAAAATAGAAAATCACTAAAGAATAATAATATTAAAACTACGTCAAAGAAACAGAGAATTTGAAAGTCATCAAGTTTTGTTTTGATAATATTATCATTGCTTTAGATGTGGTCAAATCATTCATATTCCTTAGGTAAAGGATTTTTATTGCTCAAAGATATTTTGGATATATTTTTCATGTAGAATCCATTGTTTCATTTTAGAGTTCTATATCTATCTTATGTACAAAATATTATAATTACTTCATGATGAAATAACATGATCTTTATTTCAGGGCTCATATTAATGTTTTCAATCATGTTACCAAGGAAAACAGTAGTTCTTTTCTTAAATAGACTTTAAAGATTACTCATTTTTAGCATCATTACTCAACAAAGTAGTTGATTTTCAACTTTTACAACAAACGCATGTTAAACTGTAGCTTCTCCAAACACTTCTCTTCTTGCCCATCTTCAAAACTCGACAATTTCTGTATTTCTACATTCAGCCTACATCAAATAAATTTTTAGGAGAAACTTCTTTATTACTTCCTTTCTAATTTAAAGTAGAAGCTTTGAAAATATTTTAGGTAAATATGTTTAGTGTGTTTCAGAATCATTGTAGTTATCTATATACTTCTCATGTTACTTCGTTGTTGAGGGTTTGTAAATTACTCCAACTTGGGTCCCAGTAATTGCTAATGAAGTTAAACCACCCTCTTTATTGGGTTTAACCACTGAATCTTCGTGCAATGCACCAATTTCTGAACTCCATCTTTTTTGACCTTCTTTTTTTCTGTCCCTGACCAACTTATTTGCCATATCACAGTAAATTTTAAAGAAATATGCAAGAAAATTTTATAAGAACTGTTAAAAGGTACAGTAGCACTTCTGTATTTTATAGACAAATGATAGCATTCTAATTTAAGGTATGTTACCTGTCTTGCAAAATATATATCCCATTCATATTTTTCTTTAATGAATCATGTAATATTTTTGTTCTATTAGCATAATGTCTTGATAATTTTTTTGTTATCACTTCATAGATTGTGTATTACAATATAGCTACTCTGCTGTATCACAATACAAATACATTTTCTACAGATTACTTCGTAATTACACTGCAAGTTACTATGTAGTTCAATGACTAATCACCATGTTACTTGCAATTTTTATATCTTGTAAACCTGCAGTTTAAAAGACAGAAATAATCAGATAATTAGTCTTTGATTACATATTACTCACCCTCTTCTTAAATGTACTTAAATGGTCAATAATTACCCTGTAATTACAGAGCAATTATTGTAGGCATTCACACCACCATATGTAAGGCATCATTGGTGATTTCATCCTCTGTGTTTAGGGATTTGTGACTCAGTCATGGAAAGGTCACTGCAGCCTGCATCAGGGCAAAAACTGCCTGAGAGAGTGGGCTGTTTTATAAAGGTGAGAGCAGGTGTCAGTGCAGTGGAAAGGCCTGTTAAAGGGAGGTTGTGGTGACTGGTTTTCAGATTTTTGACATAGCAAATAAATACAAAATATATACAAAAAGAGAAAATCCAGAGCTTACAATGACTGTTGAAATTTTATGAAATTTATCAACTTGTTCTTTCCAGTACGTCATTTTTCTCTAAGGTATTTCTTTCACTTTACAAAAAGATGCTTTTTTGGATACTAACAAACCATTTAAAATTCCATAGTACAGGGTTCACACACTAAAAACTTTCATCTTACTTCCATATATAAAGAAGATCTTTAGTGCCAGCACCCAGTACCTCCACAAAAGCTTATAGTTAGCACGTTTTCTTTCTATTAAGTTGTTGCACGGCAAGAATTGACAATTTTTTACAACTTTCTAAAGAAAGTTGCGGCTTTAGAAATCATTTTACATGATTCTATTTTCTTATGAAAATATGTAATTTAATTCTACAATGTTGTAATTTATAAATGTTATAACTATATTTGATTACAAAATTGGAAGTTATCATGTTAACAGGGAAAAATAGATCTTAAACCCAACAAAAATTATAGCTCTTAAGGATAATCTTATTCTACACTTGTTTTGAATCTTCCAAAAATGATTTATATAGGGCCAAGTATGCATAAGAATCTAGAGAAAATTTTTAGTTAAAATCCATTCTGTCTCTAATGTTCTTGGTGCATTGTCCATTATAATAATTGCAGAATTGCCAATATGCCAGAAATGTACATGCTTATTTTATTTTTCTCATTTTTTCACCAGTGATTGAGAAAAATAATACTCACAGCTTTTGATAGAGCTACTAAAATGACCACAAAACAGAGGAAAGCTTGATACAAGTTTTCAAATATTTATCTAGGTTTACTAAACAAATTACCAATTCTGTTCTGTGTAGAGTGGACAATGCTAACCAATGAGTTATGTCCAATAAAAGAGTCTCTTTCAATGGATGCATAATTGGATATATATCCTTGGAAAATCATTTAAGTAGTTTGCTTTGACGACCTTTAAATTGCAGACATAATACTTAATAGTAGACAAGACCTGTTGATCCAGTGGGACTAACTATGCACTTGAAGAAATGAAAGAAAGCAACCAGAGATCAATGCTGAGATATTACAGTAAATTCAAAGTAGTGTTACTTCATCTTTGGACATAAATGCTGAGGATACTTAGTATAAGGGTTCTTGAAAGCTTAATTAATGAATTGAACATATTACTAGTAAGATTTGTAAGTGTAAAAGTATAAACCCAATTAGGTCTTCAGACAACCAGATTTAACATGAACATTTGATGGGGGAAAAAAAAATGTGACTGAAATAGGTGACCTGCCAAGTAATTTAAAAGTAAAGTATTTACTCGCATCAATGTCTGTGTATCTGTGTGTATGTGTGTGTAACTAATTTTGGTTTATATGTATGGAGGTTTAGAATTCATTCTTTCTCATTTATGAACTGCATTAGATGCACCTATCAAAATCAGTTTGAGGAACATATGCTATTTGATATCCTACCATATCTACAGCTTTACAAGCAACTTGAGTTTTTAGATATCAGTTCACTGTGGCACTCTCTTACATGTCTTCATATTGACCACATGTTTTTAAAAATATTTAAAGTGTCAAGTGGAAAAGCAATCTCTTATCACAATGCCTTTTTAAAAATCTTTCATTTATTTTTATTTTTTGTCTCGTCCCATCATTTGAGCTGTAATCTTTTGAAAAGTAATTAAAATTTAGGCAGATGTAATGCAGAACTCATTGCTTTAAAACACAGGTTCTCACTGGAGTTGATGTTGTCCCCAGGGAGGCCTCTGGCAATGTTCAGAGACACTTTTTATTGTCACAGCTTGAGGGTGGGGGTGCTACTGGTATCTAATGGGTAAATACCAGGGACCTTGCTAAACATCCTGTAATACACAGTACTCTATAGATGCCCACAACAACAAAGAATCCCCCTCAGACTGTACATTGTGGTGAGATTTTAAAAACCTGATTTAAATGAATGAGCACACATTAAATTGACCTAGATAGCATATAATTAATCACACAGAATTCCAGCAGAATGTTCACTTTTTTCCTTGAAATTATTTAAACCACAGAGAAGTGAAGAAAATAATCTTTTGGGAAAACATTTACATGTGATTGAATTCGAAAAACGAATGTTACATAAAATATATAGAAATTAGTTTGCTGAACTTTTTCAGAATGTGCACATATTTTTCAGCATATGTAAAATGTCGTACTAAAATCATTAGTGACTTAATATTTTAATGACTTAAGAAAGTTTTAAACCTTCCATTTCCAATTCTTTTCGAATATTCTTCCTTTCCTTGACAATTTAAGTTTGTGGGTACAATGTAATGATGATAACACATTAATAAATACTGGAAAATATTTTGAAATTCTAGTTAACTGAACAAATAATTAAAAAAAACTTTTATGCAAATAAAACTTTTACTTTTTTTAAATTGTCATTGTAACAGGCATCATATCTTGACTACTTATCAAGTATATAATTGTCAATAATTGGATCATCATATCTTGACTACTGTCAACAGTGTTATGTCTCTAATTTGAAGGTCATTAGAGCAAGTTAATTAAGTGACCTGCTAAGGACATGTACCCAATCATTAGTCTAACAAGAGCCAATCCCTTGTTGAGCAGAATGATTCTTTTCTTGCTGCTTAATGGAGACAACTTGATAACACTCTTTTCAAGAGGGTATAAATATAGCAAAAGAGTATAATTTCCAGAATAGTCATCCGTGTTTCCAGAAAAGTCTAACTAAAACTACTAAGAATATTTCCTTTTTAATCTGGAACGAAGGTCACATACGCACCTTTCAGCTTCCCTGAAACAAATGAAGATGAAGTTTGGAATCATGCACAAAGAAGTTTTCATCTGGAATGGGGAGAGCATTATTCAGATCAGGGCTACAGAATGGACAAAAGAGAAAATCTGCTTACCTTAGAATTGGTTGTTCTATTTGTATTCATGACAGGGTTACTGAACTAGAGATCATAATTTTAAAAACTTATTAAAGGGATTGAACGTAGCAATAGCTTAAAAAATTTTTGAAACTTTTTATTATGGAAGCCTTCAATTATTCCACAAAATGGAGAGAAACATATGATGACTACCATGTACTCATCACACAATTTCAATCATGATCAATAGTTTGCCAAATTTATTCCTCTCACCCCATGTTTTTATGTATATGTATGTATATTTCAGAAATTAGGTCATTTTTCCTACAAGTATTTTAGTGTGTATATATTTTAGACATACGGGTGTTTTATTCATTATACCTGAGATATGACCATCTTTCATCATATCTCACAAAATTAACAATAATTCCTTAGTACTTTCATGGTCTCATCAAGAAAGAGATGGCACATTTAAATTAGATTTGTCTTTATTTTCTTGAGACAGAATCTTCACCCTGTAACCCATCCTGGAGTACAGCGGTGCGATCTCCACTCACTGCAACCTCTGCCTCCCAGGTTCAAGAGATTCTCCTGCCTCAGCCTCCTGAATAGCTGGGACTACAGGCACGTGCCACCATGCCCAGATAATTTTTAGAGACAGTGTTTTGCCATATTGGTCAGGCTGGTCTCGAACTCCTGACCTCAGGTGATCCACCCACCTTAGCTTCCCGAAGTGCTGGGATTACCGGCATGAGCCATCAAGCCCAGCCTAAATCAGGATTTTTTAAAGAACAGTTTAATGCACAGACTATTTCTGAAGATGTTAAGCAGGGTTTGAAGATAGCTCAAGGTACAAGGGATAGTTCAGTAGCCTGGCAAGTGTCTAGGAAAAGATATTCTTCCACCACACTGTTGGCCTTAAGCAAGGAATGGTAGCAGTTACCTAAACCCAGAGAGAGAAAGAAGCTGAAACCAATTCCGTAAGAATACTCTTTTCCAGGACAGTAGATATTTTTTTCAAATTTAAGCTATTGATGTAACAACTATACAATTTTTAGAATATGAAATACATCTTATATTCTAAATATAATACAATAAACCTTAAACAATCAGTTTCTCAGTATTGATTAAATATATGTTAAACATTACTAAAACATCAGTTGGAGAAGACACAAAATTATCAGTTGATTTGATATGCCCGTGTGTCTTGATCTAGAGCTGGGGAAAGGAGGGCACAGCAATGAACCGTGGCCCTGGTCTATACATCAGATTGGTGTTCTTTATATAGTATAACCATTTAGTCATTGCAGCAACATAAGACTGTAACCCCTTATTAAAAAGATGACTAATGTATAGCAAAGAGAGACTAAATTACATTAAATCACATAGCTATTAATTAATAGAGTTAGGATTCAAACACTGATATGCTTGACTCTAAAACTTAAGCTCTTTCTACTACTACACACAATATTCCCCATGAAACATACTCAGCAGCAGTTTGATATCCATATACCTCATAACTGTTTGTAGATAATTTATATAATACTTATAGAATCATTATATTATATATATTTGCATTATATTACAATTTCCAAGCAAGATAACATATGACTATTCTATTGATATTATTCAGATTATATTATAAAAGCATTTACGTTTTATATGTGGCCTTGATTGGGGTATAATTTTAGCACAAATATCCTGAGATCCTGTGCTTGCTGTATAGAAGACTATATTTTAGGCTGTTAACTGAACTGTTAGAAGGAAATAATTCTTTAGTATAGAGCATTGACCTATTTTTCAGGCCAGTTGAGAAGGCAGCATCTGTGGGAGCATGCATGGATATGGTTTATATCAGCTGTTGGAAACAATGTAGGCATTTCGTTTTGAAACTTTAATGAACAAGGAAATGGTAGTCTCCTTTCAGAGTTGGTTTCCATGATGCATTCTTCAAAGGAGATGGTGTCAAAATAAACTGGCGTTTAGAGAAATTATGACTGCTGAGAAAAGATTTCACTTTTAAATAAGCTTTCAAAGAGAAGTCATTATTTAGGAAAGAAGTCTACTTAAAACCACAGTTTAAAAATATGCTTAAAATCCATTTAATCTTGGTTCTTAGCTTCCTGTTATTAATGTTTACCTTTTATAACCAACAGCTATGACCTATGAAGTATAATTTTGAATCCTGTGACCTCAGAATATATCAGGCCATAGATAATATGGTACTGTTCATCAGAAAGTTGAGTTTAGATTCAACTTGGTCATTAACTTTAGGTGAAAAACTAGGCCAATTCCATATTCTTTCTCGTCTCACTTCCTTTATCTGTATAAAAATATCACGGATTTCTCTATCTAAACTTTTGTTATTTTTAAAATAATTTTATATAAATCAAGCAGTCAAAAATCAATGGAAGGCATGACAAAGTGAGGAGTTAACAAATTCTTACCTCCCAAAAAACTGTAAAGCTGGACAAACTTGTCAAAAACAAATAATTCTTTGCTCCAGTATTCAACCAAAGGCATAAAACCAACTGAGAAGTGTTTATGAATGAAATGCATGAACTTCAGTTGTAAGTCCATGGCATTTTTGCCTGGGCATGCTCCCATCAGCACCCTTTCCAGCTATGTCAATATGGTAGTTCAACCGGAACAGAGCAAGCCTTGCTGCCACGGCCAAAGGGGCTCATTTGATTTGGAGTATCATGAGTTTAAGTGGCCATCTCAATAGCAAGAGCACAGAAAGGATGGCAGTTTTGTTAGAATGAGTGTACATATTTATATGGTGCATTCAGTGCATCAGCAGACTAGCCAGGGATTTGACAGACGTTTATGGGAGGTTGGAGAGTCATAGAAGGCTTGATAAATGCTCCATGTATCCCAGGTTGACTAGAGTTTATGTGCATGA